TATATATTGGTAGAATGACATTTTTTCATTATTTGGAATGACATGGTCTAAGAGTAGAGTGCACAGAGAGAAAATACACTGTTAATGAAAACAAGTCTTGCATCAAATCAGGATAGAAATCAAGCCAAAATACCACTGGAATTTTCATTTATATTAACTAATACATCTACTTTTTTCTTAAGATAATTTGGATCAAAATTTCTTTTGCTACCGATTTAACACCTCAAAAAGTTGTTGATAGGATTAAATAAGGCATGTCAAGCTTTAACTTCAGCAACTGGAACAAAGTGATATCATAATAGTAATGAGAAAAAATATTCTCATTTTGCTTCTAGAACTATAAGCACATCCTTTGATGAGGGATGCTAGCTTTTCATGTTATTCATGTCAGACAATACTGTTAGCATGAAAACAAATGGGTGTTCTGATTTCTTGTGAAATATTTTTACCATACAGTTAATATACAATAGAAAGATAACCTCTATGAAGCACAAGGTCATAGGTTTCTTTGGGAATATTCATACATATGACAGTTTATTCTTTTGGAGTTTTGCCTTCAGTGTGCCCTTTCATGCCTTGTTCCTTCACCAACTTTCCCTTAGAGTCCCAGATCCTCTTTGGAGTTTCCTGAATGGATGCGATTTCTCCTTCCGAAATCTGTTAGTAATTACAGTCTGTGCTAGGCATTTGATACCTACAGGATATCTTGTACTCTCAGTAATATTAACATTTATGAGTCTCTCATTGCACCTAGTACAATCACAGGGACTAGATTATAAACTCCTTAATACAGCAAATTTTATTATTGCCATACTCTGTAGTAGGTAATGGACAAACATTTGTGTTAGGTGAATATGATAATCACTACACTATGGAAATAAACATTTGCAAAAAGAATAAAAACTTGTTCTTAATTAGTATTGCTAACTAACTGGATGAGTGCTAAACCTTCAGGAAAGTTTTTCTTTAAAAACTTCAGTTTTAGAACTTTCATACCTTTTTCCCCCCATTTTTTTGAGACAGGGTTTTCCTTTGTAGTGCAGGCTGGTCTTGAACTATGTAGCCCAGACTGACCTCAAACATATGGAGACCCTTCTGCTTCAGCATCCCACATGCTGGGATCACAGGTGTAAGGACCCAAACAGGCTGAGAAGGGCTTGGAGCAGAATGGCTTAGAAAAGGGTAGGGCTCAGGACAAAGGGTTTTCCCCTTTTGCTCTCTGACCACAACTTCCTACCACTGTTCCCACTTCCTGATTCTCAATATCTCAAATAACCAACACCTCCTAATTCACTGGTTAGGTAACACTTTTTGGGGTCATATCTTGTTTTTTTGGGTTTTTTTTTTCCCAAATAAGCATTCCATTGTCACATACTTCATGATGCCCAGAGCTCCCCATTGGTATTAACTCAGCTAATTGGTGCTTTGTTAAATGCTATAATCTATTTAATCTTTAGACTTTCTTCATATTGATTCATCACCACCAGACTGTCACACCAGAATGTCACAGGATGATTTGTTCCTGCTCAAAAATCCCTCACTACTACACATCACCTACAAAGTTGTAAATTTCTTAGCTTTGCGCGCACAACCTTCAGTAATCTGGTCTCCATTCACTTGTTTTCACTGATAGAACCCAGAACTCCTGGACAGGACTCCCCCATTTTGACTACTACTGAAGTGTACTCAGGTTTCCCCAAACCCTTGTGTGTTTGTGCCTTTCTTTACTTTTGCTCAGGGGACCTAAATGTCTCAGGTTTTCTAACCTTTAGCCTACATCTCTTTTCCATGTCCAAACAATTCTGTGAAATCTTTTTTTTTATAAGTAACATTTGGAATACTGAAGAATGTTCTCAAGTCTGTGAGAACTATTCACACAACACCAATCATGTGGGCTACACAGGTCAGTTGTCTCATTCCAGACAATCTTCCATTCTCATTTGATCAGAGCTTGCTTTTTCAAAGTTGGCTTCCACAGGCTGCTGCTCTTCTCCAGGGACAATGTTGCCCCAGGCATGTTCCCAGGCTGCATATCTAATCCCACACTGTACCACTAAATCCAGACTATAATAGCTCACAAAACTAAACAAAAGCTTTAGGGATAACTAGAGGGACTGTAGTACAGAAAGCTTTAGGGATAACTTGAGGGACAGAAAACTTAGGCATCTAGATATAAATGTTGCAAGAGTCCACTGGCTAGGCAGAGGAGGGTTTCATATAGATACTCCCCAACCTAAGTGCTGACCTTTCCCCTTCCCTGTCTTTCTACTCTCATAAGTCTGAATTCAAGAGCAGCTGCCCTGCATCAGATGGACTCTGTCAGGCAGATAATGGGTATTCACTGCCTTTCAAGTGCTAGGCACTGTGTTCGGCACAGAGATACAAAGGTGAACAACAGACTCAGGTCCTCTTTTCATGAGACAGGATGTTTTGTTTATTGGAGGGGGGGCAAGGTCTTCCTATGTAGCCCAGATTGGCCTTGAACTCAAGATCCCCCTGCCTCAGCTTCCCAAAGTGCAGGGATTACTGGTATGTGACACCATACTTGACTTCATGACAGATAGTAAACCATTAGGTTAGAAAGTAAATCCCAGTGTGCAAAAAGATGAGAACAAAAACACCCCCCAAAACAAAACAAACAAAAAAACTGGGTGTTTAACTCTGGGGCCCTGGGAGAGAGGACAGACCAATTTTTTTCTTTCATATTCATCTAGCCAAAGTAATAATAATCTGCAAAAAAGCAATTGATTCCTGAAGATATTTTACATTATGATGCAGACAGTTGAGTTCATTTTGTCTTATTTCTTCAGTCAAGGGAGCAGAGTCAAACTCATGAGCACTTATCCATGTGCCTAGTGTATGTATTAATTTATATAATTTTCAAATAACCTATGAATAAGTCTTTTATTCTCCATTTTATAGAACAGGGAACTAAGGCACAGAAGGTTAAGTAATCAACTAAAGGTCACACAGTAAGTAATGGCAAAACTAAGAATTCAGGCCATCTGCCAATCCTGCCCAAACTCTGTACCACATTCCCATTAAGCCTATTTAGATAATTTGCATAATCACTGATAGGTCGTTCAAGTGATTTTCCCAAAACACTGGTATAATCTTTCCTTAAAGGTACATTCTACTTCTGCTTTAAGAGCTGACAAAAAAAAGTGACTGACAGTTTCTCTTTTACCTGTGGATTTTCACCCAAACCAGCCCAGCACACCCTGCCACACCATGCAGTTCCTTGAGCTCTCTAGTTATTAAAACCGTATCAGATCTTCCATCAAAGTCAGATTAAGCCCTCCTTGGCCCTTGTTCACAATGGCCTCTTGATCTCTGCATTCATGGACTGGTTTCTGTTGTCACTCCTAGAGATTACCTTTCCTGCTAGGTTTATAGGGGAATGCATGTGACCCTAATGCAAACTGCACAGACTGGGAATTCAAAAAGAGCTACTGATTGACTAACTGAGAGGGTCTTGAACCTGAGGGATTGTGTGGTTTACAGCAAGATTGGTACTTTGGGTACTGAACCCAGGGCTATTTTAAGATGGGGTCTTCCTAAATTGCTAAATTGCACAGACTGGGATTGGATTTGTAATCCTCAGGCCTCAGCCTTCCATAGTTGTGGGATTACAGTGTGCTACCATGTCCAGCAATTCTATATTTTTACATAATTTTAAATTACACATAATATTCCTACAGTCAAATGTCACATTGTACTCCATAAATACGTACATTTGTATGTTTTCTATGTATCAACTAAAAATATTAAAGAAATTTGGGGGGAAAATACAAATATTACAGGTCGAATATCCTCAATCTGCAAATCTGAAATCAGAAATGCTACTTTTTAGTGTCATGTCAGCATTCAGAAAGTTTTATATTTGAAGGATTTTGGATTAGGGATGCTTAATATTCAGTCTCCAGCAAAATATGAAAAACAGTTGAAATCTGAAATCCTTTTGGTCCTGGGCATTTCAGAGAGGGCATGCTCAATCTACAGCAATAAAACTGGAAAGCAGTTATTCCTTCAGTAAATACTTAAAATGCTAACGATTATGCTACACATTAAGAGCTAAAGCAAACTTTCTCTCCACAGCTCTGGACCCAAGTTGCTGGCTGCCTTCTACATTCAAATTGAGGTTCAAATCTAAAATTACCCCTATAATACAGAAACACATATTCTAAACTTGTTCCTCCTAAAAGTCGCAATATTTCCTGCAAGATTTCCATCATCTATGAGATATATGTCAACCACTAGACCATTTAAAAAATCTAAGTTATACACTATTAATTCTGTGTAATGATAGTACTAAGACAACTTGTTTCTCACTCTTTTGCCAATTCAATAATACAATTAAGACAACTTTCTCTGTTTACATGTACATCTTGTATTAGCTGTGAGAAAGCTGTAGTTTTAATTTATTATACGATAAAAGAGTTTACAATTACTTTCAGAACAGTACATTTTAAAATTTTAATTGAGGATTTTGAGTGGAACAAATGAATCAAAAGAATTGCTATTTTTTTCCTTACTCTAGAGATGTGAACCTTAGGCAATGAAAGACATGTATTAATTGAAATACAAGTTTAAAAAGCCAACATGAAAAACTGACAAGTCACTTGAATATTCTGGGGAAGAGGCAGTACTTGGAATGGGACCCAGGTCTTCATGCCAGGCAAGTGCTCTACCACTGAGCTACATCCCCTAGCCCCTCACTTGGCCTCCCTGCTCCTTAATTTATTGAGATTGGTCTCTAGATAGCCCAAGCTGGCCTTTAACCATCCTCTTACCTCAGCCAACAAAGTGCTGGGACTACAGGTGTGTGTTACCATGTCTGGCTTCTCACTTGAGCAAATACGAATGAGAGTTTTTTCTGTTTGTTTGTTTTGGTACTGGGGATCCAACTCAGGTCCTTGTGCTTTTGAGGCAGGCGGCAACACCACTGAGTTAAATCCCCAGCCCAAAAATGAGAGTTTTAGTTCCTTGTAACTTTCTGTAAAAATTCCATAATGTTTTGTGTAGATTATAGTAGGGATTCTTATATGAGTAGAAATTTGTTAGCCAGACAAATTTTGAGAAAGGCATCTTGGTGTTTCCTTTCCTGTGTTCTAAGCATGCTCTTTACATTTTACTTGAATTGATCTACAAAGTAAATAACTACCCATAAATTAATATTAAAATAGAAAAACAAATTTAAAAATAATAGATATAGATAATCTGAAAGAACATTAAGACATTTCCCCCACACCAAAACAATGGTATAAAACATTAACATGTCGCTTGATAGGATCCACAATAAAGTAAGAAAATGTCTGTTCATGATTCGTTGTTGAAGGGTAGCACACACCCGTAGAATCCTGAAAAAGATAAAACTAAATTATTTAGTATACAATTACATTTGAATGATAACTAACACATTTAGCTATTTCTGCTGAAACATCATAATGCATATATACAATCTTTGAAAATAAATTGGCAGGCCAGGATTTGCCTCAGTGGTTTTGCTGCCTGCCTTGCAAGTTCAAGGACCACAGTTCAATTACAAGTGCAATATTCTGAGTTCGATCCCCAGTATCGCAAAAAAAAACAAAATAACAAAATAAAATGCAAACAAAAATCAATGTGAAAGCCTGGTGTGGTGGCACATGCCTGTAATTCCAGCACTCAGGAGGCTGAGGCAGGAGGATCACTGTGAGTTCGAGACCAGCCTAGGCTACATAGTGAGCTCCAGGTCAGCCTCAACTACATAGTGAGACCCTGTCTCAAAAAAAAAAAAAAAAAAAATCAATATGAAAAAGAAAATAAATTGGTAATTAACATTTAAAAATATTAACAGCACAGTCTATGTACATTAGGAATATATATGTAACACACACACACACACACACACACACACACACACACAATTTGTGTTCTTAAGGAATCTATACTCCAAAGGGCAATCTCATCTTTTAAAAAAAGTGCTTTTAACATGCTAAGATTACAAAATTTTCTACTTAGCAATTTTCTTCTATCTTTGCTTTTTTTATTTATGTAGCTTTGTAGGAGAGGGTTGAGACAGGTGCTCACTATGTAGACCAGGCTGGCCTCAAACTCACAATGCCATCATGCCAGGCCTTGTTTTTTTTAGAACCAGGTCCCTATGTATCATGTGGGTTTTCACTGTGCTGCAGCCCAGCACACTAGTTGAAACACAGTAAATATTAAATATTTAATAAATACTTGTTAACTGATTACAGATACTTAGAAATTGCATCATATGTAGTATCTTTTGTATGACACTACTTACAAGTAGCAGATTGTATGATATAAAGATCTTTATGGCATTTACTCTATAAACTGCAGCTTGACAGATTAGAGAATTATGCTCTACTTCATCTGAGTCACAGATTCAGCTCTAAGTAAGGAATATTATTAGATACAGATAACAGAAGGGAAGCAATGGAAAAAAGTTCTTTAAACAAAAGCATACTACCATATCAACTTTAATTTTTTGGTTTTTTGAGACAAGATCTTGCTATGTGGTTCAGGCTGACATTGGACTTACTATGCACAGCCCAGGATGGCGTTGAGCACAAGATGATCCTTCTGCCTCAGTCTTCCAAGTGCCGGTATTACAGGCATGCAGCACCATACCTGGCTATTCAACTTTGAATTTTTTTTTTTTTTTGAGACAGGGTCTCACTATGTAGTTCAGACTGACCTGGAACTCACTATGTAGCAAGGGCTGGTCTCGAACTCACAGTGATCCTCTTGCCTCAACCTTCCGAGTGCTGGGATTACAGGCATGTGCCACCACACCTGGCTTCACCTTTTTTTTTTTTTTTGGCACTGGGGCTCGAACTCGGGTCCTTGCGCTTGCAAGGCAGGCCACTGAACTGCTGAGCTAAATCCCTGGCCCTGGCTTCAACTTTTAATTTTAATAAAACATTAACTACTGTATCATTATCTTTTCTCCTAGTCATAATGATATATTAATGGCTAATTCCAGATGTTTTTTTTTCTGGAGATGAACCCAGGGTGTCTGAAGTGAGCTACATCCCCAGCTTCACTCCATTTAAAAAAAAAAAAAAAAATTCTCGGGTTGGGGATTTAGCTCTGTGACACTGTACCTGCCTTGCAAGACTAGGTCCTGAGTTTGATCCACAGTACTGAAAAAAAAAAAAAAACTTAAAAAAATTTTTTTAAGACTGGGTCTCACTAAGTCACTAAATTGCCCAGGCAGGGCTTGAACCTGCCTCAGCTTTCTTGAACACTAGGATTACAGACATGTACCACATATTCAGCTGTAACAACTCCATTAATAAGTAATTAATTTCTTTTGTTGCAGATTTCCTTCAATACTTACATAGGCTGTGACTTTAAAGACAGAAGAAGTAATTTGTATTTTCTTGGTTTGAGGATGTTTTCGAACACTAAAAAAGAGAAACAGGTACATTTGAAATGTAACAAACAATTGTTTGTAACACCTAGATGAAAATTCTTCCACCTTTTTAGAATAAAGGTAATCATTTTTTATTCTTTGGCTGAGCAAACTCAAACATCCTGAGGGATCTTGTGCTCCTTTGATATTTAAAAGGAGGTAGCTGGCAGGGAGGGCTAGAAGAAGGCAGTTCCTAATAAAGGAGTAGGTGACAGTTCTGAATGAAGAAAGAATAGATAAATGAAGCATGAAAGGACTGAGAAAATAAGAGAGAGTCAGGGAAATCTGGCCTGCAAGAGAGGGAGGAGGTATAAGATGGGAACAGGATAGTGCTATTTTTACTGGTTATATTTACTGTCATATTGGTAATATGACAACAGCAAGATGATGGGTAATCTCCATCCTAGTTAAACAAATAATTTTCTCCACCAACTAGAGATTTATATATTGTGTGACATAGCAATATTACCTGACCAGATCCTTATAGATAAGCTTTGCGGTTTCCAGATATGGTTTAAGCACATCTTCATATTGACAAAGGGATCCACCAAGGCAAAGATGTTTAAAAAGACAAAACAGGAACTCCTCTCTGTCTGGTTTGCTGAATACTTCATATTTTTCTGAATCTTCCATCAATAAAACCTAGGATGATAAAATTCATCTTAATGTGATATAATTCAAGGCACTAATTTTTAGTATCTGTGCTGCCGAAGTGAGCACAAGGCATTAATTTTTAAAAGTTCCGACTATGTATTTTTAAGTAATCTTAGACCTATTATTTATTTTTGTGGTGCTGGAGATCAAACTCTAGAGCTCTGCTCAGCTAGGCAAGCAATTCTATCACTGAGCCACACCTTCTACCCCAATTCAGACTTCTTGTGTATAGGAGTGTGTGGTGTTACAGGGATCAAACCCAGGGGCTGGCACATACAAGGCAAGTGCTTTACTACTCACTCACAATTCCAGCCCCTAAACTTAAGAACCAACTCTGAGACAACTGTAGGTTAATGTGCAATCAACAAACAGAAAATACTATATTTCTTTTATTGAACTGTTTCTAGCCTACCTACTTTTAAAAAGAATGTGAAATAGTTAACAATAAAAAATAAACACAGTAAGACCAAAATATTTAAAGATCAAAAGTGTAAGGAAATATAGTCGGAAGAGAATTCTCTCTATATAAAAAATTCTGGATAGAGAAAGCTATAAAAATTGTGCACAGGACCTGGGCATGGTAGTACACATCTGTAATGCCAGTCTCTTAGGAGGCTGAGACAAGAAGATCCCAAGTTCAATGCCAGCCTGAGAGACTTAGCAAGATACTGTCTCAAAACAAATATTAAAAAGGGGTGGGGCAAAGGGCACAGCTCAGTGACAGAGTACTTAAAATGAGTGAGGCCCTAGGTACAAGAACCAGAACTCTGAAAGAAAAACAAAAATAGTGTATAACACTAACATGATCATATGAGAGGGGATAATGGTGAATCATATAAGAATCACCATCCAAAAGCAAGAAATACATTTAATTAGGAAAACTGACTATGCTTATTTATTTTTGAGACAAGATCTCACTATGTAGCCCATGCTGGCCTCAATCTCAATAGTCCTCCTGCCTCAGTCTCCTAAGTATTGGAACTGCAGGCATATGCCATCACACCTGGCTTGGTTACATTTACAAACTGCTAAGGAAAATTTAGCACAAGGTCATTGGATAAGATGTAAAGAATAATACATCATATGCTATTATCCATATACAATTTATTTATAATGACTTGATAAAAGCCAGTGTTACGTACACTAAGAGACAGGTAAGGGGCACAGCTGTTGTTCTCTGGATATGCCACATGTAACACTTGCCCACCTCCACTTCCTAACTTCCTCCCTCTTTCCTTCTCTGTTAGAAAATGGTGTGCTAGTAAAGCCCATGTTAATGGCTACCTGAAGATATAGACACTAGGGTAAATAAAGCACTTAGAAGTGAATAGTTAACACATTTTTTTACATTATCATTCTCATATACTGAAATGATTAGGCTGTGTAATTTAATTTTTTGGACTTTTGAGATAGGTTCTTGCTATGTACTTTAGGCTGGTCCTAAACTATGTAGCCAAGGCTGGCCTTGAACTTGCAGTGATCCTCTTGCCTCATTCTTTTGGGTGCTGTGATTATGGGTGTGCACTGCACCTCCATGCCCTATATAAAATGTTTGGAATGAATGCTAAACATAATATTCTATAGCTGTTCTTCTTCACCTTTTACATACACATCCCTAGCTGTGCAACCTTCAGGCATTAGGGAGAAAATGTTAATGAGTCAACCTTCTGAGCTGCAGTCAAGAAGGACGTTATTATCTTTACTTACATTATAGCATGCTGATACAATCTGTACTGCTGCACAGTGGGGTGGGAACTTTCTAGTTTAGGTTAAAGGTGGAAATTGTTGCTGTTGTTTTCCCAGCCAGAAAGCAAGCAAGTTTTAGCTGAGTGTGGTGGTGCACACCTGTAATCTCAGCACTTGGAAGGCTGAGGCGGTGGGGAGTAGGGGAGGGAGAGGGGGAGGGAGAGGGAGAGAGAGAGAGAAAGAGAGAGAGAGATCACTCAGGAGAGAAGAGAGAGGGTAGAGGGGGAAAGGGAGGGAGAGGGGGAAAGGGAGAGAGGGAGGGAGGGAAAAAGAGAGCTGAGATGTAATTAGAGGTATCCAAAAGAAAAAGAAAGGAGACCCAAACCAAACATTTCTTGAGTGGCAATATCTAACCCTTGGTGAAGAGTAGAAATTAATGTCAGATCCTCATTGTATAGTACTTATATTATCTCATGTCAGATACAAATATACTTCATTTAACTAAAATCAAATTGTAGTCTAATTCAACTGTGTGTTTGGTTATTTCCAATAAGTTAATTTTGTTTCCTTCTTAAGCTCAGCTTTTAGGCACAGCTCTAGTGCAGATTTATGTATAGACTGACTGGCTGCCTCCCTTTCTCCACAAACAAGATTCCTATGTCTAGACAAGTAAATCAAAAACTTCCTTCTTACACATCTATCTAGATTTGCAATACATTAGCGCTCCTCCTTTCTTTTTTAAAAAAATTATTTATTTTTTTACTCCTTTCTTAGTGGAAAATAATAGTAATAATAGTAGTTGTTAATGTTATGGACTTTACTAAGAGACACACACTGTGCTAAACACTTTAAATGCATTGTCTCACATAATTCTTGTATTATGCCTGCTTTATAGATGAGGAAACTCAGGTTTAGAAAGATTAAGTATCACAATTATTGAATGACAGACTGGGCATAGTGGCACATACCTATAATCCCAACAGACAGGAGGCTGAGGCAGGAAGATCATATGAGGTCGAGGTTGGAGTAGGCTAAATAGTGAGTTCAAGTCCAGCCTGAACTCCATAGCAAGACTATCTCAAAACAAAACATAACAAAACAGAGCCTGAATTTGAACCTGTGTCTACTTGACACCAAAGCTTTAATTTTTAACTACTTAGTAATATTGTAGTAATACAATACTATATATAATACATATTTATATTATAAATGTAATATAAATATATTATATTTATAAGACATTTCAACAGCATTTCATACTTTGTTTTTTTTAGACAGTTTCAGTGTGTAGCCCAAGTAGGCCTCAAACTTGGCAATTCTACTCAGCCTGAGCACTGAGAATATAAGCATCTGCCATCATGCCTGGCTGAATTTCATACTTTTCAGTATACATTTAAATGCTTCCTCAACTAATTTTCTCAATGGTTTTAGGAAGGTAGAATGGGCATTTTCATCTCTGTTGTTCAAGTAGATACTAAGGCTCAAGAGACTGATCTTATTTGTGCTGGGGGTAGTAGCCACTCCTACATTCCAGGAACTCTGGGAGACTGAGGCAGGAGGATCATAAGTTCGGGCCCAGTCAGAGCAACTCAGTGATGTAATGAGACTCTGTCACAAAATAAAAAAATAAAAAAGGGCTGAAAATATAGCTCAGTGTGAAGGCCTTGTGTTCAACTCCCAATATGGATGGAGGATGTGAGTTGAATGATTTGCATAAAGCTACTGTCGAAGAAACCAGATAAATATGTATTCTAACATTGAGTTTAGTGTACCTTTCACTAAAAATTTAACTTAGCCAATTTCATATAGCTTTGTTGATTTTAGCAATAAGAATTTTTTACTCCATGGATATTTTAATATTCATTTGATATATTAAGAGTTCCATATTGAAGAAAAATAGTCATTAATTTACTGGACCAGGTTCTTCACCTCTGCACTACTACATGTTGGGCCAGATAACTGTTGTGAGGAACCTTCCTCTGAGTTGTATAGTGTTTAGCAGCATCTCTACTTATGAGATGTCAGTAGCACCTGGTAGAAAACTACTTGCCTCTACTCATCAGATGTCAGTGATCCAGCTGAGAACTACTGAAATATGCAAATAATTAAGTTAACAGTAAGTGTGCTATCCAAGAAGAAATATATCAATGTGATGATTATTACTAATCATATTTACTAACAAGTACTTGATTTTAGGAAGGCAAAAGTATTTCACATTTTGCATTTCCTGAAATAAAATTCCAATGTGAAATTAAAAATTCTGTACTTACTTTTCGTAACTCATCGGAAATGAGAAATGGATCACAAAAAGAGTCTAAACACTTAACAATATGTCCAGTATCTCGTACAATATCTTCATCATATAACCGATTGAAAAATGACATTGAAAGCTGTGTGCAAGGAACATTTGTAGCTTCAACTTTTTTCACTTCAGTTTCTAAAATAAAACATTTTATAAAGTAATATAAAAGTTAATTTAACATTCTCAATTACTTCTAAAATAAATATGACATATGTTTTACTATAGTCATGCGCTGTCTGACAATGTTTTGGTCAGTGACAGCTAGGTATACCACACTGGTTCTGTAAGACTAGAGTGGAGCTGAAAAAGTCATACTGCCTAGTGTTGCTGTAGCTATCATATCATACTACTGTACGGTGCATTACTCGTGTTTGTGCAGATGCTGGTGTAACAAGCTTACCATATAAAAGGCCAGCATGTACAATTATTCACAGTACATTATACTTAATAATAACTATGTTTTATGTATTTACTATACTATATTATCATTTGCACTTGATCTTAGCCAAAAGGCCGAGAAGCGATTATACTATATTACCATTTGAATATACTCTGATTAAAAAGTTTACTGTAAGAAATTAGGCTATGTTAAGCCAGCAGCATCTACATACATCTCATGTTTACTGTATCTCTTCACTACAGCAAGAGGCCACACTGAGGAACTCGCCCATACCATCTGGATTTGCTAAGTATTCAATATGTTGTTCACATAAGAAAATCACCTAATGACAGATTCCTCAGAATGTAGTCCATTGTTAAGCAACATGACTGTATTTAAAAAACACTTTAGGGATTTTATTAAATTCTTACTTTGAAGCCCCCACCTTTTTTTGAGATACAATCTCACTATGTACCTCAGAATGGCCTTAAACTCACAGCAATCCTACTGCCTCTTGATGCTGGGATTATAGGCATATGCCATCTATACCCAGCTCTTTGTAGCTTATTTTTATTAATAATTAAACTTTTATACCAAAATCTTACCATTTCAAGACTAAACATAAATTAGATAACATTTGAAAATGAAATATCTTTTTATTTGTGTGTAGTAGCAGGTGCATCTATTAGAATGAACTGTAAAAGCATAGGCATTAATTTATGAGTCTGAATTTAAAGTTTTATAATTTGTATTACAAAAATTTTAATTATGGGGCATTTATGAAGTCCTTGAGGTCTTGAAAACATTTTCTTTTCACTGAAAGATTTATCCTTTGTAATCTTATTTATAGCTTTTTTTTTTTTTGAAACAAGGTCTCTTTATGTAGTTCAGACTGGCCTTGAATTCACTATGTACCTTGAACTTATGGTAATCCATCTGCCTCAGCCTCAGCCTTCTGAGTGCTGGGATTACTGTGTTCATGTGCCACCATGCCTGGTTAGTGTTTATTACAAAAAATAGTTTTCAAGCCAAGGTAAATTTCACAACAGGCCCTACTCAAGATATCACAAGTTCAGAATTATAGAAATTTGCAAATGACAATTATTTTTCTCTTATAGCTTCAGTTCTTCCCATTCTCCACCTCTTTTCTTCTCCTATACTTATTTCCTGAATGTATATTTCAAGAATGAATTTTATGTTAACTAAAACTTCTATTAAACTATAGAAAGTCAATAAATAGTTTAGGCTAGCCCAGGCAATTTAGCAAGACCCTGTCTTTAAAAAAAAGATCAGTGTCTTCCCATGGCATATGCTCTGGTATTTCTTCCTCTTACTATACGGGCACTAATTTCATTACAAGAGCCCTAGCTTTGGGACCTTATCTAAATGTAATTATCTCCCAAAGGTTCCAAATAATATCACAATGAGGCTTTAGGGCTAAAACATGAATTTGAGGCAAAGGCACAGATCAGTCCACTAACATGTGCTACATTGTTATGTAGGAATTTTATTAAATTCTACCACTAGCACTTAGAAAATACATGGTTTAGTCACTTTCCTCATCACTGAGATATCTGACAACCCCAATTTAAAGCAGGAGAGGTTTATCTTGGCTCTCCTATCTTGGAGTGGAATCAGCATGGCAGAGGGGCGTAGTGCCCACATAATGGTTGTCAGGAAGCAGAGAAAGAATTGAGATGCCATGGAGGGAGATATACCCTTCCAGGTCATGTCCCCAGTCACCTGCCTCTAACCAGATCCCACCTACTAACAGCAAGTCAGTTGTAGTGCCCCTATAATTCAATTACCCGCCAAAAGCCTCAGGGGGAGATTCTTGCTATAAACCTTAATGATACACAATGCATCACTATGACCACATACAGAAAATTAGGAACACATTGCTCCCCCCCAAAAAATGTTAGCAAATACAACACACTAGTTACCTCCTTTTTATTAGATGTCTTAAGTTAGTGCTTTTTTGGCAACCCCAACATGACAGAAACAAGACAATGTAGTGACCAAGGTCTTGAATTCTGGAGCACGTATTTGAATCTCAATGTTATCCTGCCAGCTGTGTTACACTGTACAAAATACTTAGTTTATGCTCCTAACTTTTATTTGTAAGATAGTGATGTATATCTCTCGGAATTAAAGAAGGTAATGTAAATGATGCCCTTAGCTGAGTATGCACATAGGAAGTATCCATTATATGTTCTCTAAAAAGGGCAGTGTGTATAAATGAAGGAGACTACAGTACCTGGCTGAGAAGACATTGCAGCACTAACACCGGCCATGTAGCCAGAGCGCTAGCAGCAAAGAAGGTTCCATAATTTTTTTTCCTCTTTTTCATTTTTTACTTTTTTCTTTGTGGTACTAGGGATTGAACCCAGGGCTTTCACAATGAGCCACATCCTTGGCCCTTTTTAAATTTTTGTTTCTTTTTTTCTTTTGGTACTGGGGATCAAACTTGGGACCTTGCACCTGTGAGGCAGTTGGCAGAATCAAAATATTTTCTTATTTTTAGACAGGGTCTTGCTAAATTGTTAAGTTGCCCAGGCTAGGCTTGCATTCATGATTCTCCTGTCTCAGCTTCCCAGAGTGCTGGGATTACAGGTCATTACAGGTCATCATTACTTTCCTTAGAATTGGTTCACTGTTTTGGTTTTAAAAGCCTATTCTTTGCTTTATAAAGGCCCCCAGAGGAAAAATGACCAATGTATCAGGAGAAGAAAAGAAAGGAGATACAAACAAATGAATGGAAGAGTTCTTGCAGAACTCTACTGAAAATAAAGTGCTCTATTTTTCAGAGTATTTCTAATTATCTTGTCAGGCACATGTAGAATTTTAGAGCCTTTCTTTTTGCAATGCTTATTTAAAAACTGTAAGAAAGCCAGTGTTATTTGTGAAGTATGCACCAATATGGAGGAAGACTGAACATTTATTTCATTGAACCTAATTTTTTTAAAAGAGTGAAGTTATTGTAAACATACTTTATAAACATTAGTTCTGACTATTCTTTTCTGAAAATTTGAGTTGGCAAATACATTTGCGCTCAGATACTCAGTTTAATTTTGTAAGTAGTCTGAAGATCATGCTGTACCAGTTTTTGCTCTATAAATTTTATAGTAGTCTTTAGCCAAAAGCAGTAAAATCTGACTTACTAAGTCTAACATCATGAACTATTTGTAATCTTGTCCTTGACTCAAACTTTAAGAAAAGGTTTTTTTGTATTAAGGCTTCTAGAATTCCACAAAAACACAATGTCATAATTTACTAGAAGATCACCCAACAAAAACATCTAATTTCCCATCAACTTGCATTTTTTGAACACAAATGCATATCATCAACCAGCATCTCCTCCTAAATGGAACCATGCTTCTATTTGTTCTATTGTTGAGACTTCAACCTTACATTTAAAATATAATGTTCATATTTTTGTTTTCAAAATAGTCTATTACCAAGTCTGATTTTTTTCTTGACCTGCGAGTTAAGATATATAAATCAATGTTAACTGGGTAATTTTTCTCTTAAATTTCTGTCTTTTTTGGTGGGGCATCTACTTTTATTTTATACATTCAGATTTGATTGAAACAGTTAAGGCTACAAGCAGAACATAGCTCACATGTGTTTCAATGTATTATGGAAATACTATCTATACAAAGTTCTCCTTCTGAAAATTTAAGACACTCCATGATTTGATATATTACTCTTAAAAGTTTCATGATAGCTGATTCCTGTGTCAAAAATCCATGTCATTAAAGCAAATGAGATTTTGCCCAAGCATTCCCATATTAGTGGATAATTTCCTGACCTTTTCCCACTATTCAGAATTGACCACTCCACTTTCTTCATGTTCTAATTTCTATGGTAGAACCTGTAATACTTTATTGCAACACACACACATTTTAATATATCAAGTTCCTTTTACAGATTTTCTCTTATTGTGATATTTCTTGTATCTAGCAAAGCACATGGACTGAGCAAAATAAATGCCTTCCAAATTAATAAAAAGTGAGAGTTGGGTGTGGTGGTATACACCTGTGATGCCAGTACTCTGGGAGGCTGAGATAGGAGGACTGCAAAATGGAGCCCAGTCTGGGCAACTTAGTGAGATCTTGTCTTAAAATTAAAAATTAAAAAAAGGCATGGGATGTGGATCAATGGGTTCAAAGGCCCTGGGCTCAATCTCTAGTATTGCAAAACAAAACAAAAATAATAAAACAGATAAATAGAGAGAGGGGAGAGGAGGGGAGGAGAGGAGAGGAGAAGAAAAGGAGGAGGGGGAGGAAGGAAGGAAGGGTGGGGGAGTGGGGTGAGAGAGAGCGGGGAGAATGCACATGTGTGAGCAAGTACAACTGCTCTTAAGGACTAAGTCAAGACAACAGCAGTAGATTTCAAGGACAGAGATGAATGGAAGACCTGGCACAAGATCAAATTTAATCTTGACGTAAGCAAACAGACAAATCATCATTCACAATCTATGTTTAAAATTATGGTACTAGGGATTGAACCCAGTGACTCACACATGCTAGGTGAGTGCTCTAGTACGAACCTCAGCCCCAACCTTTATATTTTTTGAGACAGGGTCTCACTACATTGCCTAGGCTGATCTCAAGCCTTGCTTAGCATTACAAGTAGCTGGGATTATAGGCACTGCTAATTCCAGCCACAATCAGTATTTTAATAATGAAAATTCTGAGGCAAAGTTTTGTTATAATAGCAAAACAGTCATCTGAAAAGATAAAAATAAATTTTATTTACCTAATGTCATCCACTGTCCAGAAGAATCTGAAAGTAAATGTAAATTTGAAATAACATTTGGGTCTTTGAAAAAAGCCTAAAACACAAATTGGAGGGAAACATGTTAGATAAGCTATTATAAATAATAATAAAGACCAACTTATAAATTAACTTTAGTAAAATCTCATTTAAATCTGAAAAGCAACTACAAATTGGTAAAATGTCTAATACATGTTTTATAAATAAATGAAGCATTATTACATTCAAGTTGGAACACGAAGTGCGAACACTAAGTAAGGTCTTTGGCACTTAATACACAGAAAATAATGATTTACATTAAAATTAGATTATATGCTTAAAACATTCTTTCCATCTTGTTTTTTGAATTAATCACAATAACTGTTTATACTCTAGGTCTAAAAGTAATCATCAATTTACTTTTGCCCAACAGGAACAGGGCAGTGATAGATCTGACTTGCTAAAAATGAAAGCTTTCTATATGGCAAAGCCAATGTAACAATTAAAGAGTTTTAGTTCCAAGTAATAGCAACTGACTGGCTGAAAAGGCAAATGTAAAGTTTCTTAAAAGCATCTCAGGTAGCTCAAAAATTTTCAGGAGGTGGAGAACATCAAGCTTAAGGCTAAATTGTGGGAATGAAACAAAATCATGTAGAGAACTGCTCTGGTGAGGCAACTGCCACTTTTCTGCAGCCCCATCAAAAACTAGGAAGCTCATTATTACTTTCCTCTTATTCCAAGAACAAATTAGGTCCAAACCTGCCTGACTTCTAGGATCAAGTGCATTTAGGGTGCTGTGGCTGTAGGCATTACTATTCCTTTCTAACCAACACCACTGCTGGGCTGAGACTGCCTAGCCTGAAAGCTGTAGCCTCTGCTACCACCTTTGCCAATGAAATGGATTGTGCGTGTGCTTCCTTTAAGTTGCTCACAGAGCCATTCATTCATTCATTCATACTGGGGATCCAACGCAGGGCCTTTGAATTAGGCTACGTCTTTAGACCTTTTTATTTATTTTTTTGATAAGGGTCTTGCTAAATCACAAAATTGCCCAGGCTGGGCTCAAACTTGGGATCCTCCTGCCTTAGACTCCCAGAGTGTTGGAATGATAGGTGTGTGCCTCCATGCCTGCTCTTTTATAAACACTTTTGAGACAAGGTCTCAGTAAGCTGCCTAGGCTGATCTTGAACTTGCAATGTTTCTACCTCAGCCTCCCAAGTAGCTGGGGTTATTAGGCGTACATCCTTTTACCCACTCAAAAATCTGTCTTCAAGTAACCAGTCTGATTAGTAAACCTATGTCCCAGACTTCTGTTTTTTCGTTTGTTGCTGTAGAGTGCACCTAGGGCCTTATGTTTGCTAAGCATTTGCTCTGTCAGACCTAAGCCTAGTGTCTTATGTTCTGAATATAAGGGAATACCTTGAATTACTCTTGTGTTCTACTTCCACAAAAAACAAAATAAAACAAAACAAAGTTTACAAATTACCCTCAAGTCATGTGGATATTCAAAAACCTCTGGGCAGCCAGAAAATACAATGTCTATGATGAGTAATAAGAATAATAGAATGATTTTAAAAAACTGCAACAAATATGATAAAGAAAGTGATCTGACATTTTCAATGGCCAAAAAAAGCTTATTGACAAAAACTGACAACTGACAGAAAGCTGGTCAAAGGCTACAAACAGGCATATAAAAATAGTCAATAAACTTATGACAAGATTCTCAAGTTTAAGAGCACTGAAAGAAACATAAATAAGCCAAGTATGGTAGTATACCATTATAGTTGCAACTACTTGGGAGGCCATGAGTTTAAGGTTAGCCTCAACTACATAGTAAGATTTGCCTTACAAGGCAGTGCCATGTCTAGTGCTAGAAGTCAGGGTTTTTGAGAGGAAGGAGATGAACCATTAAACATTTATCAGTATGCCTCTTTGCCTGACTAACTCATACTCACCTTTCAGGTCTAAACCTAAATGTTTTTTTCTCCATTAACCTTTTTTCTGAACACCATTAGATTAGGATTGCCTACTATGTATACGCATAACAACTTGTACTCCTTTGTTATACAGCATTTCACTGTCTGTTTTAGTTTTTAAATTCCTTGAGGGCAAACACAGTGCTCATTATATCTGGAATTAGGAAGTCAAGGGTACTTTTAGTTTAATGAAGGGATATAGCTTACATAGCTTAGATTCCTTCTTCAAGAATCTTAGGAAAACAGTGATTGCTTAAAGATAATGTTGAAAAATGAGAAATATTTATTGCAATAATTTAAAGAATAAAGAACAATTCATTAAAAAAAATCATGGCAAGCATGGTGGCACAAGCCTGCAATTCCAGCACTTGTGAGGATGGGGCAGGAAGATCTCTTCAAGTTTGACGCCACCCTGGGGTACATAGTGAGTTCATGGTCAGCCTCACTAGGCCTATACCTATTTCACTACACTTAGCTAGCATTTGCCAATTTTCATTGTGGACTTTAAATTGCTATCAGTCTTAACAATCAGCAAAGATTATTGAAAATGTAGCAGTCTGGCTGTCCTCAGATGGCTCCAACAGGCCAATGAAAGACTTCTTTGTAAAGTGGAGAAAATGGCAAGTGTGATGGCTTCAAGGTAAGAAAGGATTGGCTATTCTATTCAAGGAAAGCAATAAACACAGTAGAAGGAGCACAGTAAAAGGAAAATGATCAGATGAAGGTGGGAGTTAAACTAGATTTTGTAGTCAAATGAAGAAATTTTAATGTCGTGTGTGCATGTGTGTGTGTGCACAAATGAAGACTGAATTCAGTCTGGTATCTTAGGCAAGCTCTCTATCACTGAGCTATATCCTCAGCCCTTTTTCTTATTTTAATTTTGAGACAGGTCTTGCTAAATTGACCAGGATAGATGTGAATTTGTAATCCTCCTGTCTCATCCACTCCAGTATCTGGGATTACAGTTGGGTGCCATCTTGTCTCAAAAAAAAAAAAAAAAAA